TATATGGTCTGTTTTCAGTATGGTGACTCTTTGAGGCAGGCCGGTTGGTGGTTGTGGTACTGGTGAGGGTTCAGGCTCAGGTTCTGGTGCCAAGCAGCTGGATGATCAGACGTGGGAGTTCATTTCGTCTGAGATTACCCGCATCATACTTGAGCAGACTCCTTTGATTTTTGGTACGAATAAGGAAGGTATCATGGAGGTGTTGGAGGAGCACTTGGGCTCTTTCCGTTCTAAGAAGTGGCTTTGATTAGCGCACGTTCATTGACCTTCAGGGAGTTCCGGGCATGTGGGGCTCCGAAATACTTCGGGAAGAAGGACCCGATCGCGAGCAAGCGTTGGTTAGCGGATGTCGCTAACGCCTTCCGCACTAGAAGTTGTCCCGATGGGGAAAATGTTAGACTTGCTTATTGTCTTCTGAAAGACAGAGCTCGATACAGGTGGGAGGAGGTTGGGCGCTCCGTTGGTGATGAGGCTGTTGATTCGATGACATGGGACGATTTTGTGACCAGATTCCGAGCTGAGTTCGCACCAGTGATTGAGGTGTAGCAATTGGCGAGGGAGTTCTAGGACCTTCGCCAGACTACTAAGACGGTAGCTGAGATCACCGTGATGTTCCGTGAGAGGGCACTGTTGGTTCTGCAGTATGTGGCGGATGAGGAGATGAAGAAGGCGAGATACCATGAGATGCTGAGGAGTGATATTCGGCAGTTTGTGAGTCGATCCAGTTGTAGGACACTGGAGGATATGATTGCGAGAGCCAGAGAGATGGAGATTGATCTTGAGATGGAGAGGAAGAGGAAGCCAGACCAGGCTCAGGTTTCAGGGGGGTTCGGGTAAGAGGCCCAAGGTATTTGATTCCAAGTCGAGAGGCCATCAGGGCTAGAGTCGCTGTGGCAAGTACGACAAGACGCACGATGGGGCGTGCAAGGTGGGTGGTTCTGGCTGTTTCAAGTGCGTTCGGACATGCCATATTAGCAGGGATTGTATTGCTACTGCTACTACCACCACCCCAACATCTGATCTGATTTGCTTCCATTGCAACCAGAGGGGCCACAAGAAGCCCCATTGTCCGAGTTTGGTAGCAACAAGACCAGTGGTATCACCCGCTCGAGTGCCGCTGGGGATCACTGATGGCTGACATGGCAAGACGGATGCTTCTGTGGTGAAGAGTAGGACTTTTCAGCTGACGGCCGAGGAGTCTCGCGTAGCACCTGATGTGGTGACGGGTATGTATCTTCTTCTTATCTCTTTATTTTTATTGAATTAACTGCTTATATTTATGTGAAGCTGATTTATGTTCTAATTGGGATAACATATCAATAGGAACATAAATAGTTAGGATACAATCTCATGTAGGGTTTATATATATATATATATATATATATATATATATATATATATATATATTTGTATTTGTAAACGTTACAATATTAAAACTTAAAAGTGGACTAATATGGAAAAAAGGGTAGAAAATGGGGGCTAGTAAGGTAAGTTATGAAGATTTGAAGAGACGCGGTGTTGAATATAACAAGTCCAAAATAGTAAGGATTTATTTTGAAAGTCTATATAATGAAAATGTTTGGTGAAATTAGGACGCAAGTTTTAACTTTTAACCATTCTTCTAATTATAAATACATACAAAAATCAAATTGTGACATGTGAGTAATAAATATTTAGCTAAAAGTTCATGATTTTATGCACAATGTACAAGTGTTTAATGCAGGAAGTTCATGTTTAATCCATCAACTTTGCCACTTGCAACCCCTACTTTGTATAATCCTACACTTGCAACACCTCTATTATGTAAAATGATATTTTTCATCCTTTTACTTTTTAAAATAATACTTTTACATTCTCTACCTTCAACATTGTAAAATGTCACTTTCACCCATTTATTTCTAAGTTTTTATGTTTATCTCTGGTTCCCGTAAAATTCACTATGGCTAATAATAGTACAAGTGGATAAATCATTTATTTGTAAAATGATATTTTCCATCCCTTTATTTTTTAAAATATCATTTTCACCTACTTCACTTTCAAATTTGTAAAATGTTACTTTTACCCGTTTCATTTTCTAAACTTTTGTGTTTATCCTCTGTAAAATATATTCATTGTAGTTAATAGTGCAAGTGGTAATGAACAATGTACAAGCATGTCAATGCGTAAAATACAACTGTAATTCATTAAATTTATGTAACCTGTCACTTTCAATCCATCTATTTTGTAAAATTATATTTTTCATCCCATTACTTTTTAAAATATCACTTTCATCCCTCCACTTTCAACTTTGTAAAATATCACTTTCACCATTTCGTTTTCTAAACTTCTGTGCTTATCCCGTAATATATATAAATACGATTTTCCACCCTCTACTTTGTAAAATGCATTTTTCACCCTTCTATTTTTAAAATGTTACTTTCACCTCTCAACAGAGAAAATCATCGTAGCTAATACTATAATTGTTAATGCACAATGTATAAGAATGTCAATGCGTAAAGTGCAAATTTAATCCCTAAGCTTTGTATAATCCATTACTTGCGACCCCTCTATTATGTAAAATAATTATTTTCATCCCTTTACTTTTTAAAATATCACTTTCACCTCTCCACCTTCAACTTTGTAAAATGTCACTTCACCCTTTCATCTTTCATCCATCAACTTTGTATAATCTGTCACTTGCAACCCCTTTATGATATCTTCCATCCCTTTACCTTTTTAAAATATCACTTTCACCCCTCCACCTTTAACTTTGTAAAATATCACTTTCATACTTTCATTTTCTAAACTTTCATGTTTATCCCCCGTTCCCATAATATATATAATACTATTTTTCATCCTCTACTTTCCTTATACACAACAAAAACACATAAAAACTCGCGGCAAAGCGCAAACTCAATTAATATATATATATATATATATATATATATATATATATATATATATATATATATATACAAACACACACGATTTAACTATTCATCGAATATTAATGGCTCAATTTTGGTTTTGATCAAAATGACGATGATAGGCTTCAAAATAGCAAGCTTAGAATTATATCTTGAAAATTGATACAAAATAACAAAATAAATAGATATAGTATTAGTTTTTTTCCCGAAGTGAAAACGCATGAATTGTACGGACCACATCTGCAACCCTCTGCAACAGAAGATATGAACCAAACGGCTGCAACCTGTAATAAGAAATATGTTTGTTTTTTAACTTTTGCAAGCTGATGCAATAAACCGGAATTAAAATGAACTGATTTTACAAACTTAAAATATTCAACATCGAAATTTTAATAATTCTAGTTTTACAACATTGAAATAAAATTCATACAACTAAATTAGTCTTACAATAATAATTTTAGTAGTAGAATAACAATTTTATTAAAAATAATTCATTTTATATTTTGCATAAACTGTTCAACAATATCAACCAAATACAATATAATTTTCATTGATACAATTGGAGAAAACTTTTTAAATACAAATGTTCTAATAAGAAACAAGTTAAAAGCAAATGTTGTAATAGGCCTAAAAATGATCTAAAATCTATGGTAGCTAACTAGTCACCATCCTTAACAAGCAGCAGCTCAGTACCACCATCAATGGCATTATCCAAGAAATCCCCTAATTCTATTTGAAGAAATCTAAAAATCGATGAAAAAAAAAAGAATAACAAGATTGGAAATTTCAATAAAAATTCTGGTATTAAACCAGAATAAAATCAATAAAATAATATAATTAGATTTTTTTTTACCATTTTGACATTGGCTATCAAAACAAAAAGAGAAATACTAAAAGGTTTTTAATCTAACAATATGTTATTTTTTCTTTTTGAGGTCGAGAGTTCAAGTCTCGTCGTAGACATAGATAAAACTAGGTGGTAGTTTCAGAAAAAATAAAAAACATTAAGAAAAACTGAAAAATAATAGAAAATAAAAATAAATATTAGTTTGATAAATATTTTTCGAACTAAACTAAAACTGATAAATATATTTTTCAATAACTCTCATCAAATCAAAAATTGAGATTTGCCCGTAAAAAAAACATAAAAGAAAAAAGAAAAACAGAAATTTTTTATCCTTCTCTTTACCAAAGTTGGTATTTGTCTATTTGAAACGATTTCTGGTTATCGTCGCACCTTGACCACTTTTTGATGAGCTTGTGGAACTCTGAAAGAAGCCATGGACCCGCCGGAGTTACCTGAGTGCCCGGTCTGCCTCCAGCCATTCGACGGCGAATCCACAATCCCACGCGTCCTCGCCTGTGGCCACTCTACATGCGAGACATGCCTGATCGACCTTCCAAAACCATCCTTCCCTCGTACCATACGCTGTCCAGCTTGTACCCAGCTTGTCAGCTACCCAACACAAGGTCCTTCTGCCCTCCCCAAAAACATTGACCTACTCCGCATCTCCTCCTCTCTTCTCCAATCTAACCCCAATTGCCTCAACTCCAAACCTAAAACCCCCACCGTATCATCATCGCCAGACTTCATACCCAATTTTTGGTCTCATGAATTTCACTATAATTGGAAGGAATGGGTCATTCCACGAGACACAATTTCGGTCGACACGAGCGTAGCTCTTGATGAGTCGTTTTTGCTTGGAACGGCTACAAATTCGGAGGCTTCTTCTGGGATGTCTTCCAGGTGTTTGATGAAAAGACATCAAAAGGTGAGCCTGTTTAAAGTAGGTTCTTTTACTCATAGTAACGATAACAGATTCAACTACAGTTACTTTGCGAAAGCTATCTGGATTTTGTTTAAAATGAGGGATGGTGCATTAGCTGAATTGATGTTGATTCTAACCGCAAGTTTGAAGGAATATCGAATTTGTCCTGCTTATGGGTTGTGGTATAACGAGGAGACTGGGAATTTATATCTTATCTGTGAAAGGAAACATACGACTTTGTTGAATGTTATTGAATCAGGCATTCAAGATGATATATCTAGTTTCGCCATGATTGGTATGGAGTTATGTGAAACCATAAGTCGATTGCATGAAGCCGAGTTAGTAACTGGATATACTTCATTATCATGCTTTGGTATTGATGATTTTGGGCACCTATTTATCGACTTAAATGATGTGTTCATGGTTGGACATAGAATTCAAAACATGATCTCACAGACCTTATCGTTTGCAGAAAATAAAGATAGTAAAAGATTGGAAATGTACACATTTCCTAGCCCAGAGTTATTAGCAGAGTTTGTAAAGAAAAGAGACATTGACTTGGAGTTTGGCAAGTCAACCATTAGCTATAGTTCAGATGTATGGTCGATAGCCTGCATATTACTTTTGTTTCTAATCGAGAAGTCTTTTGGTGAAGAGACACAAAACTTCTTGTGCAGTTATATATTCGCATTAGTCAATGAAAATGGTGATGATTGTGAAGAGTTACACCTGGCATGGTTGGATAAAGTTTCTGGTTTGTTAGATACTAAATTGGGTTCAGACTATGTCTTAATGAAGGATCTGTTGCACAAATGTCTATGTTTGGACCCTGGGACTAGACCAGTTGTGACTGACCTTTGGAAATCCATGAGGGAATTGATTATCAAACCAAAGTTTGAGGTAATGAGAAGTGTGGAAGAGAAAGTGATAAATAAAAGCACGTGTCACTGTTTGCTTCTAGGAGACTTGTCATGGCCATTAAAGAAAACTGATAAAGTTGATAAGAATGGTTTTAAAGATGGAGACTTGGTGGTGGAGAGTGGTGTCATTGAGGGTATTCGTGAGAATTCCATAAAATGCACTGATTTGAAAGGTCATCTCGATTGCATATCTGGATTAGCTGTTGGAGGTATGTGTTTGTCATTTTTAAATACCATGAAAATGTGGTTTAGTATTTAGTGGAGATGATTTGGTTTAATAATTTTGTAGGGGGGTTTCTTTTCAGCTGTTCATTTGATAAAACAGTGAACGTATGGTCTCTCCAGGTATGCATCATCAATTCATCATGATTACATTTACATATACATACATGGAAATGATGGATTAATGAAATACATAACACAGGGTCTTAATCATGTACATACATTCAAGGGTCATGAACATAAGGTAATGGCTATAGTTTATGTAAACAGAGAAGCTCCAATATGCATAAGTGCTGATAATGGAGGTGAGATTTTCATGTGGGCCATTAAAGTTCCATTTGAGGAGAATGCTTTCAAAAGACTGAATGAGGAAAAAGATTGGCGCTACAGTGGTATTCATGCCTTGGCTGTTTCTGAAGCTGGATATTTTTATACAGGCAGCGGGGACAAGTCAATAAAAGCCTGGTCAATGCATGTAAGGGCATATACGTCTTTTGCACATATGGAACTACTTTTTTTTTTTTTACATTAATTATTAAGTTATGGCTTATTCTCGTAATTAAATGTCAGGATTATAGTTTGACATGTAGTATGAGTGGTCACAAATCAGTGGTGTCCACATTGGCAGTTTGTGATGAGGTTCTGTATAGTGGAAGCTGGGATGGAAGCATTCGGTTATGGTGTTTAAGTGATCACAGTCCTTTAGCAGTGTTAGGGGAGGAAGAAGCAGCAGCATCACCATTTGGCTCTATTTTGTGTCTTGCTCTTGATAACCAGACTCTTGTTGCAGCTCATGAAAACGGATACATAAAGGTTGTTTCTCAAACTCACATTTATGTTTTACTAATTGAAGTAAGAATTTGATTTATTCTTTCTGTGGCATGAATATGATCAGGTATGGAAGAAAGACGTGGGTTTGAAGCCCATTTCAGCACACATGAGCTCCATTTTCTCAGTTTGTATGGAAGGAGAATGGTTGTTTAGTGGTGGTTGGAACAAAAATGTTGTTGTACAGAAACTATCTGGTGATGATGATGATGTGACAGAAATTGGAAGTATTTCTGGTGATTCGGTTGTTACTGCATTGCTTTATTGGCAGGGAAAGCTTTTTGTTGGCCAGGCTGATAGAATAATCAAGGTTTCAAATATCATTATCATTCAAAACGACGTAGTTTTAAGTAAAAAATCACCCTCCTGATGGTTTTTCTTGAATTGTAAAACCAATCAAAATGACATAGTGTAGTTTTGAGCACATGTAGTTTATGAGAAAAAAATCAAGTGGGTGATTTTTTATAAGCATATTTTGTTTGTAATACTCATGTGTTGTATAAAATTTTGTAGGTATATAGTTTTGGCGGATGATTTGGAAACTATGAAGGAGAATAGTTAAAAGCTTCTTCATGGTATGGTTATGAACTTATGACTTATGAGGTTATAAGGTGAGTAGCAGTATTGTATTTGTATGAGGATAACTATTTTAAAGATTTTAAAATGTGTACATATAAACATATGCATATACCCACATAAATAGCACTGTATATACAAACATAAACTGATACACACACAAACACATATACCCTTATAAATACATGTAGCCTATATACTGACATACACATGCCATGCCATATGTATACACACTTAAACACACATGTACATTGTACATAAGCATGCACAAAAGAAATATATGAGAAATTGTTTCTAAATATAGTGACGACAAGATATCTAGTGTATGAGGTGAGTTTGTGCTCCAAAAAACAATATTGGTGTTGGAGTGTGATGTTATTGGTTTTGAGTGCTGTGTTTATATACTACATAGTCTAGCGAGTTTGTTTGTTTTGTATTTGAATCATTTGTGGTATGTGGTTTTATTGAACAAAATGATTGCCAATTTTTAAGTTGTTTTCGTTATTGGATTAGTGGATTTGATTTAATATTTTATGAGTTGGTGTTACTTTAATTGTTTTCTTGTTTATTTTTCAATGCATCTATTTATGCTTGAATGTTGATGGTTTGTTCAAGATATGGGTTTTTGGCATGTTTATTTGAATTAAAAAATTTATGATTCATCCCACATGTAGCATTGATCATTGTCATCTTAATATTAAGAAACCACGATATTTTTTTTTTTATGTAATTTATATTTTTATTTATATGACCTATTAAATATTTGTCATTTGGAACGGTTTAAATTTCTTTTATCAAACTTTATTTCCTAAAATATAAAATTGGTTTTCAATAAGTTGAGTGAGAAAATTCTTTTTATTGAATTATTTTTAAAGCGAACCCTTATTTGAACCAATGTTGGTATCTATGGAACATGAGGTGGGTTTACATTTTTTATTTCAAAAAAACCAATAAGTGTTGATCCTAAAGGCGTTGCCAAAAATAAAAGAAAATCATATTTGAACACAGAAAAACAGAATCTCGCCAATCACAACCACAGGTTTCATATCATCGTTATTAGAAAAAAAAAAAAAAAAAGAATTACAGTTGTGGGCTGAAATTATTATACAATAGAATTAGAATAGTTAGCGGTTTATGGAATGACATATGAGTTTTATTTGTTGGGTACTAACACTACATTAGTTCATCAACATCTGCATCATACACATACACATACATTCATATTACACCTATGACACTTACTTTTAATTAATTAGACCTTAATTAATCAAGTAACTAAGCCAATAACCAAAAATCCTTACGCCATCTTGTGCTAATCAGGTACCCACCGATCCCTTTGCTTTGCTTCCTGACTCCTATTGTCAAACATTCCACCGTGTTGATACATTGCTCCACAAACCTCTCTGTGCTACTCATCCCTCCCAAGCTACAACAAATACCAACATACTTTATCTTTTAAACTTTATACTTTACTTTTACTTGAAATAGTAGCATACTTCTTATTCAAATTTTCAATATAAAGGACACGCCAAAATATGATGTTCTTCTGTGTATATTCCCGCTTTTTTGAAATTATTAACAAGACAAAAGATTCAGTCAGCTTTTTCATAAATACTCATGTCTTCTTTTCTTTATGTTGATTTATACAACTCAACTTTTAATCAAACTCGTTAACGAGGTACATACTACATACCAATGTCCTTGATATCGACACTCTTATTAAAAAAAAAGCGATGCTATTTTTTTTTAATAAAATAAGATAAAAAGTTGTAAAGTATTGGATTTGACCCGGTTTATTTTTTAAATAAATAGTTTACCAATTTCTTTCCAACAATAAAATACAATCATAGTTTGCATTGAAATCGACTCTTTTTCAATTAACTTCAATCAATCCACTACATTATACATTATTTTAATTTACCAGTTTCACTATTTTACATTTTTTTTTTGGCATTAAAGTCTTTCCAATAAATGCACCGTCATTTAAGTGTTAGAAATAAATCAAATAATAGACCAATAGAGCATCATCGTTCACAAATTTTACCTTTTTCTAGTGTAAATCATTCATATCTACAAAATGGTCCCTCAATTTTGATAACTTATTTACTTTTAACTTTATTTAAATGTATACTGGTATATTAATTACTACATTAAAATTAGTTTTGATATTTTAGTAAATGTGCTGAAAATGTAACTTTTTTTGTTATTTAATGAAATATTTCTTTTGGATAATAAGAAAATTTAGTTTTGTTAAAATGATATAGTAATATAATTTATCAAATCACTTGAAAAATACTAATCAAACATTAACAGGTAATATCCTTTAGAATATTTTGTTTTGATGTAAAATATAGTGCAATATAATGCAAATGATTTATTGTTTTTATGAGTATTTTCCAGCAAAAAAACAGTGATGGGATGGAATAGATTCACCTTCACAAAAACTATGTAGTAGGAGGAAGATGAAAGAGAGATGAAGAGACAAACCATTGAAGGAATGAAGAACTCTTTTGACCCAAAACAAGCACCGACACCTCTAGCTTCTTCACTTGGCTCACAACTGTTGCCAGCTTTGGACCTTCAATCACCAATGCTTCCACTTCCACCTGTGGACAAATTCAGTCACCATGTTCAGAAACGCCATAGATTTCAGTTCAGATCTCATATTGCTCACAAACAAAATGGGGAAATAAAAATGAGGATCTGTCGCCGTCAACCAAACTGGTGTAACGCAGATAAAACTATCCCCAAAATCAATGTGACAGAAATGTTTAAGATCTAGAATATGCAGATCCGTAAGCAATTTTACCTCAGGTTTACAGGCCTTGCAGAGGGTACCAAGCGAGGTAACCAAAAGATTTGTAGGAGCCGAAGAAGAAGAACCACCTTGACTTTCCTTGTTCAAATTAGGGCTAATCTGAAGAAGAGTAAGCATATCCCCTTTATTAGCGACATGTGTAAGCGCCCACAACATAGCATGCTTGGAATGCAACGATTGATCCACTACAACCATGACTCTCTTCCTCTTCTCCATCATCCCAGTAGTACCAGATCCCGAGCGTCCAGCGTTACTTCCGTACATCCCAACACCTTCCATCTGCATCAAATGCGACTCCCTGCAGCTGCTGCTAGCTTTTTTATTGGAAGTACTGTATCCACCCCATCGCTTGGATGTTGATTTCCAGCCTTCTTTTTCACTGAGTTGCCTTAGAAACGATGATTCTGAGGTCGGCATTCTACTCAGAAGCCGGTAGTACAATGGATTGAAGGCCGATGTAAATGGGGTACAATGAGGAACAGGTGTGTGTGAATGTGTGTGTCAGTGAGAAAGAGCGGGTGGAGGGTCACAGGGGTGTAAATATATATAATAAGAAGAGTTGTTGTGTTTGTATGCGATTGATAATAAGGTTGTGGCGTGTGGGAAAACAACAACTTTGACCGTACCCGGTAATCCAGTGCGTTTGTGTGAAATAGAGAGATGGACAGAGTTTTCCCCATGTATTTCTACTAATTCTTTAATACTATTTTAAAAATTATCACTATTTCTAAATATATTTGATAACTTTATATCCTTTATGCTTGGGGTAATACCCATCACAACATTTCAAAAAACTTTTCTCACCCTATTTCAGATAAGAACAGACACAAAACTACTAATAGTGTGTATGTAGTGTCAAATTTGTAATAGTATTTGTAATAGTATTTGTGTCAAATACTATTACAAAAAACTTTATATCCTTTATGTAGTGTCAAATTTGTAATAGTATTTGTGTATTGTGTAAGACATGTATTTTAATCTATAGTAACATCAAATACATGCCTTATCCTTCTTAATTAGTAAAGATCTTTTTGCTAGATGTCACACTTTTTTTTTAATTTGCCACATGTAATTTTTGTGATTATTTTAAATTATTTTTGAGTCCACATGTCATTTTATGGTTTTTCATTTTATTAAATTGTAGATAGTATTTATATTCAATAATAAATGCATATCAATTTCATTAATTAATTTTCCTTCTAATTTCAAAATTACCAAATTAAAGATTCATTAAATTTCTTTATTTATTTATCTCACTTTTCTTATAAATTCATACTTTTCAAATGTTTAGAATTTTATATTTTCTTTTAAATAAACTCATGTAATACATTAATCTCACACCTATTATATAATAATATAAAATTAGGTATATGTCTAATATAGGTAACTGACTAACAAAGGTTGTTTGGTTGTTTGTCGTTTGTAAAATTGTCTATATAAGGATCATTGATTATAGAGAAAAACTGCAATAAAGTCATTACATATTGGCTTAATAATCGATTTAGTTCTTATATCTTTTTTTATTCAATTAAGTTCCAAAAATCGGTAATCGTATTCAATTTAACCCTTTTACCCAGTCAACGGGTCATCCAACTTTCAAAAATTAGGCTTGGATTTTATAATTTTATTACAAATTTGGTCTAAAATTTACACTTTTGGCCTAGATTTTAAATTTTTATTACAAATTTGGTCCAAATTTTACCCTTTTGGCCCAAAATTTAGAGTTTTGTTATGAATTCATCATAACTTTAGTTTTTTTACAACTTTCTTTTTTCAAAATTTTGTTTCGAATATGTTTTTTTCTTTATAAAATCATATTTATACCAAAAAAAACATAGTTTCACATAAAAAATCTTATATTTTCTATATAAAAACTTTTTTTTTAAAAAAATTTTGTATACGAAATATCTATTTATAATAATAGGTATTTCTTAACTACATAAATATATACAAATTCGTAAATAAAATGTATACAAACACGTATTTTACAAATAAAAAATTGTATATTTTATTATAAATACATTTGTATACAAACACATATTTATAAAAAATGTAAACAAACACCTATTTTCATAGTTGGTTTTACTCCATGCATGGTATGGAATGTCTTAAGGCATTAAGATGTTGGGTTTTTATTAGGGGTGTAAGTGAGCCGAGCTACTCGTGAGCTACTCGGGATCGACTCGTTAAAAGCTCGACTCGAGA